TATATGGAAACTGATGAAGACAAAGTAGATGGAAGTGGAAGTTTTATATGTTCAAAGTCATTGGTCTTCCAGGAAATAATAAAGATAGTTAGGTATGTGGAATTATATTTTTTCTGAAACACATTTTGCTTTCTTCACTTGGAATATCACACCGACATTAAGAGAAGGTAATTTCCTGGCTGGTGGTTCACGGCTTCCAGGGACCGGAGTGTCATGTGATTCGGGTTTGTGATTTAACGTGTTTTGTTGGCTTCCCTTTCTTTGGTGTTGATTGAGTTCTTGGAACTTGTCATAAAGTCTGTGTTCTATAGTTTTTTTTTTTTTTTTTTTTGCACAGCGTCTGTGTTTTATAATTATACGTACTAGTCCGTGCAACCCGGTTGGTTACCGGGAAATGTATCTCTATTATATAATAGTGTAATCAACTTAGTAACTTATTGTGATTGTTATTAATGTACAAAATTAATTTACTTAAAAATAATTTTAATATAAATAAATTATATGTCAAATGCAAGGGTAATGTTTCCAATATTACACTATGATTTTTATTTTTATTTTTTTAAATAAGTTTAGATTATAAGAAAAAGTACAATGAAAAAAAGTCATAATTAGTCGATAACTATAGACTTATTTTATAATCTTGGATACTACTACTCCTCCCCCAAGCTTCTCACTATAAGAAACTTTTCTTACAAACTCAACAGTCTACCCCAAGCAAAAGAGGTGGAACAATCGAGTGTATATCTTTCTACTATATAGTAGTGTTATTCAGACTTCCAAATTTTGAAGAAGCGACCAACATTTCAGCCCAGAGGATGACAATCCAAGAGGAGAATAAATTGGGTTTTCAAAAATTTTGTACAATATTTAATGAATACTAATAAGTAATTGCAAACAAAAAATTTAAAGTGTAGAAATTAAAAGTTAAAGAAAGAGGATGCTTAAATACAATGATTTATAATTATTCAATTATAATTGGTACCTAATCCATTCTCTAAGCTGCTTGCTTAAGATCAGTTTGCTTTAGATTCAAAAGCTTTCCTCATCCAACTTTCAAGTGTAGAGGTAATCAGAGGCGGAGCCAGAAATTTTTTTCAGGGGGGGCAAGATGCAAGAAATTTTTTTCAGGGGGGGCAAGATGCTAAAATTTTCAAAGTTCAAGAAGAGCTAAATAATTTTTCATATACTAATTTGTAAATTTTTCAAATTTCAGGGGGGGCGAGCGCCGCCCCTCGCACCCCCCTGCCTCCGCCACTGGAGGTAATCGTATGCAATAATTTTGTTGATACTATCCACCTTTAAGAATTCAACTCCTTAATACAATCTTTCTACAAACTCAATCTTATACCACAATAATGATTTTCTCTAAATCTAATAAAGTTACCCAATTGTTGTTCCTCGGAACATTCTTCTTCATCTTTGTATCATATTATTATTGTGCCTTGGTTTTAAAATCAAATAAAAATAATAATTAGTGAATTTATCAAAAATATTAATAAAAAAATATCATCAAAATAAATGTAAAAACCTTACTTTAACGTTATTCACATCTCTATAAATAATAAATCTATCGATGCAGTAGAAATATAGATAACGTGTTGCCTCTAAGATATTACAATTTTATATGTAATAACATTGTATAAATTTACAATACCAATAAAGTTACTTAACTTAAACACCCTTCTTTGCCCAAAAATGTCTGTTACTATAGAATACATAGAGTACCAAATTACCAAGCAAAATTGACAATTCAAAGCTAACTTGATAAACCTGAGACTTGAGACAGCCCAATTAATTTGAACCTATCCGCACCCAACCCGACTATAATTTTAAAGCACCGTAATAGGTTAGTACACAACAAGCAACTAGCTAATTAAAGAAAAGCAAACCTTCCCTTAATTATCCAATAATTCCAGATCTTACCTGGAATATTAAATCTATAATTAATTTTTTTTTTGATGAATCAAAATAATTTATTATGATAAAGAGTACAAGGGGTACTCTACCCATAATCTCAAGTAAGCATTACAAAAGGAACACCTATGAAGATATTCCACAACAATAAGAGGACCTCAAGTCTATGCTTAAGTAATTTCTTGAACACATAAATTAGGAAAGTTACACCAGTAGAAGAAAGGAAATCCAGCCTTAGTAGATCTCCCCCTAATCCATGTAAAAGTCCTCCTTTGGATTAAATCAAAAGTTTTGTCTTCGTCCCATTGTTGAGATTGATGGATAATAGAATTCCTTATGTACCATATAGACCATGTGATCACCAAGAAAATCAGAAACCAAATATCAGAATTAACCAGCTTTTTGATCCCTGAACAATGAGCTTCACTTAGGAGAGAAATTGTGTTAGGGAGGGAAAAAGAAAGCCCCCACCATTTGTAACATCTCATCCACAGTCTCTGAATCTTTGAACATTGGATAAACAAATGATTATCATCCTCGAGCTCTCTTCTACAAATGCAGCACATAGTCTCCGGTTCGTCAAGCTGGATACCCCTTTTTATAAGGCCTGATTTTGTTGGGAGGCCATTAAGGAGGAGGTGCCATCCAAAGCAGCTGATCTTTGATGGGATTAATCTGCCCCATAGCCTTTTGCAGATATGTGGTTCTAAAATTCCATTCTTACTAGTGATCAACAAGTAGGCCTTACCAACTGTATATCCATTTCCAGTATCAAAGCTCCAGCTTCTTCGGTCCGGTTGAGAGGATTGCACTACCTCTCCCAAGAGGATCTGATTTAACCTTTGTTCTTCATCCCTTTCCCTGCCAAATGGTTCACATCTCCAACTATGTTCCAAACTCCAGGATCCATTAGAGTAGTGTCCCATTTCCATAATAGTTACATTCCTATTAGGTGCCAAATTGAAGAGTCTAGGAAATGTTACACTAAGAGGTTCAGTTCCTACCCACTTGTCCCTCCAGAATTTAATTTAATTTTTCCCCACACGCTTTCAGCCTTGTTTTGAAACAATATGTACGTAGCTCCTCCACTTCCGAATTAATTGCCAACATTTATTGTC